GGGCGCCTGGGTGGCTCAGATGGTTAAGCGTCTGCCTTCGGCTCAGGTCATGATCCCAGGGTCCTGGGATCAAGTCCCGCATCGGGCTCCCTGCTAGGCAGGGAGCCTGCTTCTCCCTCTGCCTCTGCCTCTCTTTCTCTCTCTGACTCTCATAAATAAATTCTCCAATTAAACCTCTTTGTAAAAATAGACTCAGTTCCTAAAATTCTTATTTGTTATTATTTTAATGATTTTGTTTAACCTCAATTTTGACAGAATGGGTAGATTTGTTGTGTCATATGAATTTTTAACTTCCGCTTACCCCATCTACATCATAAAACAAGACAAGTTCAAATAAAATTTGTTTTGTTTTTAAATCTTTAAATCTTAGTTCTAGGATTATGTTGGTGTTAAGTTTACAAAAATGATAAGCAGAAAAAAAACTGCGCTCTACATGAGAATCATGCTAGTATTCTCTGGCACAAAGTGGGTCTCGAGTGCTCACCTCTATACCAATCATCTGACCTTAATCTCTTGGCTTAAAGTGAGCCACCTGCTGGGGGCACCCCTAAGAGTTGTAAGGGCTAAATTCATATGGACAAAAAAAGAAGACATGTCTATTAGCTGGAATAAATTTGAGACAAATACGCTGACCGAAATAAGAACTCAAGGCTTTTCCCGGTTTTCCTTGTTGGTATTTTCCTTAAGGGGATATAAAGCGAGCGAGCTATGCTTCAGTCTTCATTCACTTCATTTGTTCTTTTCCCTAATAGCTGTTGAAGAATGTAGTTCAAAGAACTTGATGGCCCTTGAGACTCAGTAATAACAGATCTGCCACTGCCTAGTTGAATGAGGAGATAAAAGAGAGAACCAGAAACTTACTTGTTCATTGGATCGGGAGAGACAGCTCTTTATGACTTCCGTTTCCAGAACTGTACGCTTATTGATCTCCACATGTTCATAGTATTTAGAAAGTCGGGTCTGTCCTTGTTTATTCACCATGAGGAAAAATTTTATCATTTTTTTTTCTGGGCAATATTTTTCCAGATAGTTCAAAAGTTATGTCAAGGTGTACCTGTAATTAGAACCTGAAGGATGAAAGAACAACAAAAAGCTAAGATCAAACATCTCAAAGAATAATATTAGATGTGTTCTATAGATGAACCAGAAGTAAATAAAATGTGATCTGATAATACTGGTCTTCACTCCTAAGAATTAAATGAGGTTTTAATAAATAACTAAACATAGGGATGCCTGGGTGGCTCAGTGGGTTAAGCATCTGCCTTCGGCTCAGGTCATGATCCCAGGGTCCTGGGATCGAGCCCCACGTGGGGCTCCCTACTCAGCATGGAGTCTGCTTCTCCCTCTCCCTCTGCCTGCCACTCCTCCTGCTTATGCTCTCTCTCACTCTCTCTCCCTCTGTCAAATAAGCAAATCAAATCCATAAAAAAATAAGAAAAAAACCTAAACATAAATTTTCATTAGTTATCTTCCAAAACTTTTTTTTTTTTTTAAGTAGGCTCCATGCCCAGCACAGAGCCTAATGTGGGGCTTGAACTCACGACCCTGGGATCAAGACCTGGGCTGAAGGCAGATGCTTAACCGACTGAGCCACCCAGGAGCCCCTCTAAATGAACTTTTAAAATATGGAATAATTTTACAGAAAAGTTGCAACAGATTATGGGATAATTCTTGGACTACATTTTGTATTATTCTTTGTCCTCCCAGTTCATCTCTTGTTTCCTAAACCGTATCAGACAGGTGGTTATCTCACAATAATTCCAAACATGAAGAGCTGGAAAGAACCAGGCCCAAAGCCTGGGCCGCCGTGATCATCCAGGGCACAGGACAGGATGTTATGTAGACCAGCTCGGCCGGGGACAGGGCAGCTGTGCCATGGGGGAGGCCTGTGGTCATTCACTCCCTTTTCCAGGAAGATAAGCTCACTACTGTAGGTGGGACTGCAACATACTCTGTTTAGTCATTTGGTATTAAGTGCTGCTTTTATTCTCCTTACAAATTACTGCCAGTAAATTATGGCTGGTGACCAGTAAATTAAGTTACCATCCATTCTTTTATTCCCTCTCAGCAAAGATATTTTAAAACGATCTTCACAAAAGTTAGAAATTACAATCTTATACTCTGGATTCCAACTGCCAGCTAGAAGAAAGAGATATTGTCTTGGGCACCTGGGTGGCTCAGTCGGTTGAGTGTCCGACTCCTGGTTTCAGCTCAGGTCATGATCTCAGGGTCCTCGGATGGAGCCCTGTCGCTGCTCCCTGCTCAGAGGGGAGTCGGCTTGTCTCCTTCTCCCTCTGCCCCTCCCACTACTCGCTCTCTCTCCCTCTCTCTCAAATGAATAAATCTTTAAAAAAAAGAAAAAGATATTGTCTCAAAGGTATTCATGGCCAAACCTTTGCCTTTAAATGCCCTGGCTGCGTTAAGTTTACGGTAAAATGAGATGTAAAATGATCCCATTGAGATGTTACACCAACGGATCAAATTGGTTTCCACCTTAACAAGCACAGCATTCCTTCCCACTGACTTCAGGAGCAAGGATGACAAACAAGGGTGTGTTGAATTGATACTCATTAGGATGCAAGCCTTGAAAATAGTAGCTGAAGGCATCTATAAAGGCTCGAATACATCATCTTTGTTTTGCATGCTCATAAACAATTACACAATTTGTAACTGTAGGATTATACAGTGGTAATGAAGTGGACAAGTAAAATTGTAAACTCTATTATAGAATACACAAATCCGAAATATATAATGTAGAGACTCAGAGACAAGTACATGTTTGAGAACAGAAGATGAATGCTTTAAGCACCGATCCTGGTTACTAATCATCAGGGAGGAGAGAAATCAAATAATTATGAAACTGAGGTAGGGTATAAGGAAAGAATATGCCTAGACAAGTGCTGGGAGTGGCCAGGGAGCAGGTATGAACTTCCTTTGTTTATAAAACTCTTTGCATTCAAGGACACACAAGGCTGGGGAAGATGTTTTGATTGCCAGGACCTGGGGGACTCCACACCCAAGAGCCTGTGTGAATCAAGGACAGATAAAGAAGGGAAATTTCACTGGGGAAAGCCTTAAACAAAGGATGCCAGGATACCTAAAGGCCAAGATGAGGGAGTTTGGTATAGTCACAGTAGAATATGAGCAGATCAATGTCCCAAGACCCTCTATGATACAAACTAAATGCCTAGAGAAAAGAGAGACTGGAACAATTGAAATGCATACTGAATTGGGTATAGTTTTCCTATTCTGATGGTGTATTCTGAGACTGTCATCCAAAGATGACAGATTTTAACTTGGGTGCCAACTGTGACTAACTGTATTTGCTGCTTTGAGCACTGTGTTGGGAAGGATTCTGGAACGGTTCAGGTTCAAAAGGATGCTATGAACGATTAGTATGTCAGTTGCAGGTTAGGAAGCAGGGTGTGGCAACATATGCACCATATACCTCTCATCCCTGATGTGCACTCCCTTCATTTTGCAGATGGGAAAATGGATAATCTGAGATATAGAGTGAAGTCTTGGATCCTGGCCCCCTGACTCATAATCTGATGCTGTCTTTAATTTATCACATTACCTCTTTGCCTCACTCAGTATATTAGTGTCATCAGATGTTCATTTAAGCTTACCAAGCATCAACTTCAGGTAGCTTTGGGAACGATCAAGTCAATATTCTCTAATGCTGCTGAACATTTAATTTGGAAAATACCAAACAATACAACGCATGAAAACAGTACAGTATGAAGTTTCTAGCAATCAAAGTGGCATTTGGTGATGACTAATATCCTTTCTAGCTCTGAAGGCTTTTTATGTACCTCAGAATCAGATTATTGTAACACACACACACGTAATATTAGACAAAAACATTTTTGGCCCCCTAAAAGTGATTGAAATAAAATCCTCCAAATTAAAAAGCAAATTTCCTCCAGGGAAACATAAAGTCCTCATAACAGTATAATAGTCAAAAGCATGCACTGAGGCTTGACTGTTAATTTTGTGATCCTTGGCAAGTTACTTAACCTTTAGTACTCAGTCAAAGGTACCATGGGAATAATAATAGATAGTACTTACCTTCTGGGTTGTAAGGATTAGAGGAGTTAGTATACGGAATGTTCTTAGAACTGGGTTTGGCAGTTGGCACATAGTAAGGGCTACATAAGCACTGGTGAAAGTCATTATAATATATCACTTTTTCGGGCGCCTGGGTGGCTCAGTCGGTTAAGCGTCTGCCTTCGGCTCAGGTCATGATCCCGGAGTCCTGGGATC